ATAATGCCATAGCCCTTAACAAATTTCCTATAATACCCAGTGAGCCCCAGAAACCCTCTCAGCTGCTTGACAGTGGATGGAACAGGCCATTCAAGCATACTTGCAATCTTATGTGGATCTGTGGATACTCCCTCAGAAGTTATGATATGCCCCAGGTACTCCACCTCCTGCTGTCCAAAATGACACTTACTCCTTTTTGCAAACAGTTTATTATCCCTCATCAAGCTTAGGACCTCCTTCAGGTGTTGTAGGTGCAATTCCCAACTTTTGCTATAAATCAAAATGTCATCAAAGAAAACCAGCACATTTTTCCTCAGTTTTTCCCTAAACACCTGATTCATTAGGGATTGGAAGGTAGCAGGTGCATTGCAAAGCCCAAAGGGCATAACCAAAAATTCATACTGACCACTATGAGTGTTAAAAGCTGTGAGATGTCTATGTTCAGGCTTCATTAGGATTTGGAAATATCCAGACCTCAGATCAATTTTTGAAAAATAGGTTGCCCCATGCAATTCATCCAATAATTCATCAATGACAGGTATTGGGTAGTCATGTTTAATGGTTAGGCTATTAAGGTATATGTAGTCTACACACAGTCTCCAAGAACAATCCTTTTTCTTCACTAGCAACACAGGTGAAGCAAAAGGACTGTGACTGGGTTGTATGAACCCTGCATCCAGTAATTCCTTCACAATCTTCTCAATCTCAGCCTTTTGGTCATGTGACACCCTATAAGGATATTGATGTTTAGGAGAGTGGTCTGGTTTCAGTATGATTTGATGCTCCACCCCCCTTCCTGGGGGTAATTCCTTAGGTTCCTCAAAGATGTCAGCATACTCCTCTAGTAACCCCTCCAACTTAGGGTTAGAATGATAAGTTGGCCTTGGTATGGTCATCCAAAAGACCTCTTCTAGTTCTTGCTCATGAACTAATTTAAAAAGAGTAGGGCCTGAAATTAGTTTGCAGTCTGCTGAAGAGGTAATTGCCTGCAGCTTAACCCTCTTACCATTCACTCTGACTGCTATGGTCATCCTATGATAATCCAATTCAATAGGGGTACTTGCCTTGAGCCAATCTCCTCCTAGAATCAGGTCACATCCCTCATGTTGTAACACCCTTACTGTGTGAGTAAATGGGTGATTCTGCATGTCCCACTCAAACTTTTCAACAGTATATGAGCTTATCATTCTTTGGCCATTGGCTACCTTAACCAAAAGGGGTTTAGCAGGCACCATCTTGCATCCCAGTTCCTTTGCTGTTTGTTCCCTGAGAAAGCTGATAGTGCTCCCTGAATCAATGAGTACATGAAGTTGATGTTTGCCCATTTTACCCCACACTCTCATTGTGGTTAGCCCATCTTCTCCTGAAATTGAGTTGAGAGACATTTGAATTTCATCCATTTCTGCCATTTCAATATCCTCCTTGCCTGTATCACTTTCAGCTTGTAAATAGGCTAGCTCTTCTTCTTCAGTCATGATCATGAAGTTTATTCTCTGTTTGCACCTGTGACCATAAGTGAATTTCTCATCACAATTGTAGCACAACCCCTTTTCCCTTCTACTAGCCATTTCACTAGTTGTAAGCAATTTGACAGGTGTTTTCTGTTGTGTTGGGTTAACTGGTTTACTCAGGTGGGCCTGGTTGGGTTCATTCTTTTTGGGGCCTGAGTAGGAACTATAAGCAGGCTTGTAATTCCCCTTGACTTTCCTTGATATTGCCTCCAATGTGGCTGTTTGCTTCCTGCCCAGTTCCATTGCTTGCTGTAAATGGGTAGGCTCAAACATGGTTATGAAAGCCTGTGCCTCCTCTGGAAGTCCACTGATGAAGCTGGCCACAAAATACTCCTCAGAATACCCGGTCCTATTCATTAATAACATGCAAGCCCTTAACTCATCAAACTTGTCCACATAGTCTTCATATGACCCAGTTTGTCTCAACTTGTTAAACTCTGCAATAATTTTTGCCTCTTTCAAATCTTCAAATCGAGCTGAGACAATGTCCACGAACTGTGCCCAGCTCAAGTCTTCCTGTTTAGCCAAGAAATTCTGGTACCATTGGGCAGCTCTCCCTTCAAAGTGCATAGCTGCCAATGTGACCTTCTGTTGGTCGGGTATATTAGGTATCAATTTGAAATAGCCACTGCATTTTAAAATCCAAGACCTAGCGTGACTGCCATCAAACTTTGGGAAATCGATCTTAGGTAGAGGGCTGACCATGTGAGGTGTTGGTTGTTCAAGTTGTAATTTCGGGCCCGAACTTTGTTGATAATTGGTAAATTTTCCAAAACTGGTAGATCCATCTCCTAGAATGGATTCCCTTTCATTTTGTTTCTTTTCTGGGTTGAGGATTTGCAATTGAATAGAAGCAAGCATATCGGCCAAATGGTCATACTTACTGTTCATTGTGCTGTTGATGGCTCCAATTTGTTCTTTGACTTGCGTGGTGAAACCAGCTAGTTGCTCTTGAAGTTTTAATTCTGATGCTTCACGTTTTAATGCCTCTGTTTGCAGGTTTTGGTCGAGCTTCTTGTGTGCTTCCTGCAAATCTTTGAATCGCGTAGCTTCAGCCATGGTCCAAGGAAGTGTGGCTCTGAGATACCAATTGTACTGAACTGGTTGGGAACTTGTATTTTACTGTGTAATTGATAGGATGTACAGATAGCTTAAGGAAGAAGACAATAGAAATGGGGGAGATTTTAGAGAGAGAAAGAAAGAGAGAGAATGTTGAGAAAAGAGTGATATTTCATTAACTGATTATCTGACACAATGTCAGTCTCGCTCCATGTATTCTTTTTCCCATGTGACACACGCACACTTACACAACCCACAACTTGGGCTATTTAAAACTTAATAAATAAATCTAACTGGGCTTAATAGAACATTACAACCCATTTAACATAAAATAATACGTAATTCCGGCCCAACAGTTTGACCGGTTCCCTTTCGATTCCCAGCCGGTTCTCCCCCTTTGCCTTTATCTTCATTCTCGGCCATTCCTCTTTTCGATCCCCAATTCACAAACCCTAATCCTCGTTTCTCACCCAAGATCCAATCTTTACCATCTCCGGCCGACATGTTCATCACAGCTTTGTCGTCGACCAGAATATCTTTCTCAAGATATTCTTGAATAGGCGTCATCCAACTATCTTTCATTCCAGCTTGAGCAATATTTTATATAGCTATTTCAAGGGTTGATTTAGTGCGGCGTTTAATGATCACATACTCAATCTGATCAGTGTCGACACAGGAAGCGAGGTGGGTTAAGACATTAGCCTGAGTGTTTTAGCTTCTGGGAATATGTTGGAGATCGGCTTTGAAATAGAGAAGCTTCTTCATAGACAACTCAAATTAATGTTGAGTCGGGGTTCTTTAACTTCGAATTCTCCGAGAAGATGATTGACATTCAACAGGGAATCGCTGAATATTTTCACTAAGCTCCCTGTGTCAATAAATATTCTCTACCCATCATACCCCGCAACCTCAACCGAGATCACCAAAGCATCATTGTGAGGTACGCGCAGACCTATTACGTTCTCGACCTTAAAGCTAATCATCGGCTCTCTATTGCAAAGCTGACCTCCTCTCCCTTTCTCTTAGCAGCTCGAGGGTGCTGCTTTTTGGCATTGTTCGAGTCTCTATCCATAGGTACTCCTAAAATCATGTGAATCACACCCCTCTTTGGTGGGGCCTCATCATCCTAGACCTTCTGATCCTCTTGGTCTCTCTTCCTCTTTCCTCGATTCCGTCCTGCCTCATTTGATTTTTTTTGCTCACTGTCCTTGTATACAAATTCCTTGAGGTGACCAACTCTGATCAGCCTCTCGACCTTGTCCTTAAGGTGACAACAATTGTTGGTGGTGTGGCCGTAGTCTCTATGAAATCTGCAGTATAGACCCGACTTTGGCTGCGTCGGGTTCTTTTCCCTCGACCTTGGCTAGGTCTCTATATTTTTGTCGAGCTTCTTTTCTATGGTCTCCAGCAGCTCTGCCTGGTGCGGCCTCAGTGGGGTGTACTTGTAGTACCTCTGCCCATCTCACACAACTCAGCCTTTCTACCAATCCTCTCACATTCCATCTATTCTTTCTTTCTTCGAGGAAACAACTCTTTCATTTTTTGTCTCAGGTTAAGACAACTTCTCCAACTTGGAAAATTCGACTTCTATCTCCTCCATATTTATATATAATGAATATTGAAGATCTTAGATATTTATTTTTCATGCTTTTTTTTTATTATTTACCTTTCTTATTATTGTTTCCCTTAGTTAGTATTATTTACGTTAGTAAGTAAATATTTATTTAGTCTTTCTTGTGGAACAAGATAGGTTGGTTAGGAGACTTGGACTGTATATATTGTGATCTCTTGTCATAGGGTTGATTTGTTATTCATAAAATTATAAGAAATCTGTTGAGTTTTTACTCTTCTACTCCTGCTCGTACGTTTCCCTACATCAGTTGGTATTAGAAGTCAGCACGATTCACGATGCTGGCACGAAAACAACATGCTGCAGACAACTGGCGTGATATCGCCATCTACGACCTGAGTTTCTAGGGCGAGGGATTTGGCCGTTGGCTCGAGATGATGGGTCGTCGGATTGTGGATCTTTCCGCAGAGATCAGGGACATACTTCTAACTCTCCATACCATGTTCGGGATGAGCAAACGAACTGCGACTTGAACGACCAGGGCGGTCGCGGGGGTTATTGCGTAGGTCATTGCGGAAGAGGGCCTGACGGGGCGCCCCGTCAGCGTACGCCACCACCGATGCACGGTGAGGATGACAGCAGCGAGACCTTATCAAAGGTCAACCCCTTCGACTTCCGACAAGCGCAACAAGACACTGACGACTTCGGGTGGCACGACGATCGTCGAGATGACGAGAGCGTGGGCGATGTTCGTTTTCACGAGCCATGTCGCGAGGTCTACTGCTCGGGCCTGCAGTCCAGGTGTTGCGACTGGTGTGGGTGTCTCGACGGGGTTGGTGCGGGGGGGCTGGGCGCACAGTCGCGCCCAGCGGAGGTGTTCAACGCGCGGTAGGGGCAACAGGTGTTCCGCAAGCTGTCGGTGGGCTGCGTTGCTTCGATTGCAGCGAGGTCGGCCATCAGTAGGCCACTTATCCTCAGCTAGCGGGGACGCGTGCATTGTTTGCAAGGAGACCAACAATGTCGATGCGAACGACTTTTACGACGGACCACCGGTTTTCGATGAGGAGGCTCTGGAGCTAGAGGAAAACTTGGCCGAGTTTGTCATGGCATTGTCATATCCGTTAAATGGCAAGCCTAAAGGTGCTACAGTTGGAAAGCTAATTCCTGGTGTGGAGACCAATTTAATTGCAGAAGATGGATACTATGTCATATTCTGTCGTACTGATGCTGGTATTATGCCCTGGAAATCGAAGCAATTTTTTTGGCGCATCCAACAATTTTTGAGTGTTGCGTGTTGGGTCTGCTCGACAAAGACCTTGTTGAAGTTGTGTATGCCATAGTTTTACCCGATTTGGGGATTAAGAGAAAAGACAAACAGGATGCTCTTGCTTCGTACTAGCGGTTGGCGGGCGCACGTTATCGACATGTGGGGGTCGCGGTTGATATTTATGAATCACGGTGTTTCATCTGTGGACAAGTCGGGTCTTTTGTCGATGTACAGGAGAGCCACTTGGAGGTGGGTTGGCATGTTTTCTTAGGCTACTGCAATTATCTTTTTCGATTGATGGATAGGCTGAGGACGATTCCATTTGAGATCGGAGTTTTTTTGTAGGACAACAGATGACGCAGACAATGAGATCGGGATGGATTCGAGGGTGAATCTTGCTCAACCGAAGGAGAATGATGACGATTGAAGATCTTAGATATTGATTTATTTTCCATGTTTTTTTATTAATATTTGTCTTTCTTATTATTATTTTCCTTAGTTAGTATTATTTAAGTTGGTAAGTAAATATTTATTAAATTTTTCTTTGGGGCAAGATAGGTTGGTTAGGATAATTGGACTGTATATATTGTGATTTCTTGTCATAGGGCCGATTAGTTATTGATGAAATTATAAAAAAATTGTTGATTTTTAGTTTTCTACTCCTACTCCTACGCTTCTCTACATCAATAAACTTATTGCACCTAGTCAGGACCTCATCGTAGGTCATCGTCGATTTTTTTGGCTAACGAGCTCCTACACGGATCTGCTCGAAGACCCTTGGTAGATCCTCCAGCCTTGACCTCCTCCGAGGCCGAAGGAATCTCAACACACGGTCTGGTGTATTGACAAACAAAACTTCTCAAAGTCTTCCCACTTTCTTGGTGCTTCGCCATCAATATAAGGTAGGTTTTCTCCTATGACCTTGCACTAGCAAATTGGTTGAGAAACATATTTGCAAACTCCTCAAAGTCTGATCGAGCCCAGGGTGATCTGGTAAAACCAGTCTTGTGCTCGCCCCTCCCCCCTTTTCCCCTCCCCCACCCCCGCAAGGTCACCAAAAATGCCCTACAATTCACCGCATCGACATAACCATGATGAACAACCATATTCTCAAAAGGCCTCAAGTGTCAAGCTGGATCTGTAAACCTGTCATACGAGATGCTAAGCTCTCTAAATCCATTCGGTAGATCGGCTCGACAGTGCTCCTTGGTGGTCCCCTCGACATGACGAAAACTAGATATGGCTGCGTATGGGGTGGAATGATGAATTCCGTGCTCGATCTGACCTCATCTTGGTTGCTCGGGCCTGCGACTACAACTGAGACCGCCGATAAACTCGTTAAGCCCACAGGTTGGGCATCGGGGTCTGAGACGACTTGAAGAAGCCAGATGGTGGACCTACTCCAAGCGGACGCGTGGTGGTCCACACACCGTGAAAAGTGTGCTCTAAGTTCTTCCTGGGAGCATCGTTCGCCATGGCTATGGTGTTTGATGGATTTTGAAGTAGACCCCACAGACGACGCCAAAATGGTGTGTAAAAGATCTCTGTCTGGCTCACATGACTTGGATCTCTGCTCCGACCTGTTTGTAGACCTACAAAATGAGTCAGGAGGGGTACCCAACGTTTGGACTCTAACGATCAAGTCAGTCTACAGATGAAGAAGATGATGAATAGTTTATGTAAAGTTCTAGTATAGAATATGTAGTGAATGTAACATATAATGACATACATCACTCCTTTATATAAGGGTGTTATCTCGTTGCCCAAGGCTGTCTGGATGAACTGCCCAGACTGTCGGAGCGGCACATCCATACTGCCCGAACTTCTCAATTCTATTAAGCCACGTGGCCTTCTCCACGTGTGGTTCTTATCTTAATAATATCCTTTCTTATGCATCATTATGTCTAATTAGATGGTCTAATCGTGCGACCGACTCAATTCACCTCGAGGTGGAGTGTTGCATGTGCTAAGCTCGTATGCTCTGCTCTTCTAGTCAATCCATCGACCAGTTATGTCTTCAGGTCGAGTTTCAACGAGGCCACCTGAAGACCTCAACTCGACTTGTCGGTGCTCATTTGGACCTGCAATGTCCTCATCGACCTGAGGACTCTTTGCCCTGTAGCTTCGTTCTACCTAATTGTAGCTCAATTCGACCAACTGGTTTGCCCTATTCGACCTGGTATGTTATCTCATATTAGGCCGAATTACTTCTTGGGCCTTGGTTTTCATGTTCTTGTTGGCTTTCAACTTTCGAAGCACACATACAACAGAAATAGAATTAATTGGAGCTGTATTTGTATAATTTTTTCTTTCAAATCATAGTGATGGAGCATATTTATAAATGAATCAATATAAATAATATAAAAATAAAACTAGATTATAAAAGCGAATAGGAATGTGATTTGACTTTATTTGAGAATTAAATAGAACATCACCTCATGTAATTTACGGTATTGTCCTCAGACCCACATTCTCCCTTGAGAAAAGCAAATGCTCGAGTCGAGGTGATACACTGGCAGCGGCAAGATCTCAAAAGGGTAATTTGGGTAATTGTGAGGAGATTCTGAATTACCAACTCCGAACGCGTGCTGCTCCCTCAGTTCCACACCGGAGACCAAAAACCAGATTTTCAGGAGAAAAAAATGCAGAATGAAGAAATAAAATATTCCCTAGTGGTGACTCCTTTTGTTTCTTTCTCCTTCCTTCCTTGGCCTACTGTAATTGTTCTTTAATGGCCGCAAAACAATTCGTTTTTGGCCTTTTTGCACAGTCTAAATAATTGCGACAACACAGACAGCAAAATCCAGGAAAGGGCGTGTGCACTTGACAGGTTTACTCTCTCGCATCTGATTCTTTCCTCCTCGTCAAATCTTCCTGATAATTGCTATGTTTCCTCGTTAGAACA